ATACATCCTCCTTTCAATCTAATATTCCTTCTACATAACTATTTTTAGAGCATGTTTTCGTCAGCAAAAGCTAATTAAGAGTATTCTAGAAGATATCTGAATGTACAGTGCTGTGCAAAATAATAGACTTATTTTTATTTGGTAAATATTTTCCATTATGAATGATATTTAAATTAATTTTTTATTTAATTAAGAACTGTACTAAAAGATACACCATCCACAAATATTTTTGTTTTTTTATGACTTTATTTAAATAAAAAATGTAAAAAAATTCAATTTCCTATGATTCAAAATAATAGACTTATTCAATATTTCTTAAACAAATATTTTTTTTCCATTAAAGACTAAAACAAATTAAATTTTCTACTAATATTAAATATTATAATAGTATGCCAAGTTAATTCAATAATCTGAATGACCGCCATTGTTGTTTAAAACGCACTGAACTCTTCTGGGCATTGATTCTATAAATTTTTGGCATTTTTCTATACAAATTGCCTCCCATTTCTTTTTAATCTCCTCCCAAAGTTGATTTTTATTCCGAAATGTCTACACATCTAAGCCTCTCTTCAATTCAACCCAAAGGTTCTCAATAGGACTGAGATCCGGTGACTGTGAAGGCCATTCTAAAACAGATACATTGTTAGCAATCAGCCAAGATTTAACTAATTTTGAGGAGTGCTTAGGATCATTGTCCTGTTGAAAAGTCCATTCTGGTGGCATGTTGTTTTCCGCATAGGGTAACGTAATATCCTTCAAAATATCACGGTACATTTCTTTGTTCATTATTTCTGTGATCTCATAAAAAGGGCCAACACCATGCCAAGAAAATGCACCCCACACTATTATACTTCTTCCGCCGTGTTTTACAGTTTTTGTATAACGATCATCTAGTTCCATTCAGTCTTCTAACATTTCTGCGACTATCTGACCCGAACAAGTTAATTTTTGTCTCGTCGCTCCATAAAATGTTCTTAAAATCATCAACTGCACTATTTTTAAATTTTGTGGCAAAGTTTTTTCGAGCTGCTTTGTTTTTTGGGCTTAAAAATGGTACCTTCCTGGCGATTCTACTTGCAAACCTTTCTCTAAAAGTTTTCGTCGGACTGTTGAAGCACTAATTATGTTACCTATTTCTTCAGAAACGGCTTTTGAAGATAAAAATGGCTGCCTCTTCACCAGAAGAGCTATCCGTGAATCCGTCGTAACGGTTGTTTTGTTTCTTTTGATGGCTTCCACTTGATCGCGTTTCTGACGAAATGATGAGGACTTCCAAGCAATTCCGCAATAAAAGCAAATATTTTTCCTTGGTCACGTAATTTTTTCACTATTCGACTGTACATTACGACCCATCTTTACGTAAAAATAATATTATTTTATAATATTTTTTTAACAATAACATTTCATTTATCTTACATTTAATTATTTTCATAAAAACTTCTTAAAAATACCCATTATTTTTGGTATTGACAATATCAAAAATAACGGTACCAGGGATGGAAAAATTGGTACGATGGTACTTTTTTTGATACTATTTGATGTTCCAAAGTACGGTGATACTCCCGAGTCTTACTTGATACTCTCAGGGCCACAATCTCAATATCCGATTATCGTTTAACCGGTAGACAATGTGCCGGTTAAAATAATTTTTGTATGAAAATTATAAATATTTCATTTCGATAAAAAATAACAATACATACATTGAGAAATGGGGGTCAAAGTATCTTTAAAATTTCAAATATTTATTCAAATTTAAAATTCCACGAATGTTTTGGCACATGTTTACAGAAAATTCTCAAAAATGCATCCACTATAACTTCTGGAAAAAACGGCTAAAAAGTTATAGAGTAATGGAATTCTCTTCAATATTACCAGAAGTAAAGAGATCTAGTTTTAAAAAATTTCTATCTTGATTGACATTATATGAATATTATTAATCTAATTTAAATTCCATTGATAATATTTTATGAGAAAATTACCAGAAATTTCAATTTTGGAAAAATAGTTGACTTTGAATGATTTCCAAAAGATATAAACTCGAATTTAATTTTCAATTTCTATCTAATATAAAGCAATATATTTTGAAATTAAGCATTTAATATAATAAAAGAAGTTTTTGGTCAAAAATATTTGGACTTTAAAGCAAATTATTGTTTCATGTCATATTCAGAATCAGATGTACGAACAAATATTCTGTGTGAAGTCTCATGTCATGGAGCGCAATGAACACCTACGTCGGATTTTAGTTTAATAAAAAGGGCCAAAGGTGGCCTGATATTAATTAAGACCGGATTTATTAAAATACAACAAACTGTATAATAACTGCTTTAACAAAGTTGCTATGGACAAGAAATTACATAGCAAATTTCATCAAACTGTATCTAAAAGGTTAACATTGAGGGACGAACACAGATTCATCATATTAACATATAATGACATTTCTACTTCCGTTGCGGATTATTTTAAAATGTCTAAATATATTGTATTTAAGAAGTTACAAAATTTTAGCGAAAAAATTATTTTAGTACTCTCTGATCCAAAAAAGTACCCTCTGAAATATTTGTTGATACTGAAACAAAATCTCACTTTCCATCCCTGAACGGTACCAACAATTCCTAAGAGAATTGTTCAATTCACAATCAAGTTGTATATTGTACCTACTAAAGTGTAGTAACAGTGATTGTGAACAGATCTTTGCAGCAAGTCATAAGTTTGTGTTCTCAATGAAAAAAAAAACAATCAAAACAAATATAGATAACAATGTCAAAAGATAAAAAAATCAAGAAATATTAAATTAATTAAACATGCGAAATAAACCAAATTAATTTCTTTGAATTTTCAATTCTTTTATTTTCTTTATTCCACATTTTAAACTAATAAATAAACTGTTTTTAATAAAATTTTATTTTTTTTTGTTTTGGTAAACAGCTGTTTGTTTTTGATTTCAGTGTTACCACTTTATTGTTTTTATACCCACCATCAAAAAAGATGGGGGGTATATTGTTTTTGTCATTCCGTTTGTAACACATCGAAATATTCATCTAAGACCCATAAAAGTATATATATTCTGGATCCTTATTAAATTCTAAGACGATCTAGCAATGTCCGTCCGTCTGTCCGTCGGTCCGTCTGTTGAAAACACGATAGAGTCCAAACGGAAGCAGCTAGCGAGCTGAAATTTTGCACAAATATTTTGTATTGATGCTGTTTGTTTGGTATTGAAAATGAGCAATATCGGTCCACGATTTCGCCTAGCCCCATATAATGTCCCCTTCAGAAAACGACTTTAACGCTCATAACTGACTAAAAGAAACATCTATAGCGATGAAATTCGACATGAACATATTTTACAGGAACCTTAATATCATTGTAAAATTTTTTAAGGATCTGTCCATAATTGACCCTATCCCCCATATAAGGCCCCCCTCAGAAAATGATATTAACGCTCATAACTGACTAAACGAAGCAGCTATAGCAATGAAATTCGACACAAGAACATATCTTATAGGAATCTTAATATCACTGTAAAATTTTATAAGGATCGGTCCATAAATGACATTAACCCGTCTCCTTCTGAAAATGGCTTAACTCTCATTACTAGACTAAACTAAAATCGTTCTAGAAAATTTGACGAGGATCGGTCCATAATTGACCAAACGTGCCCCCCTAAATAAGATCCCTCTCAGAAAATACCTTAAACGCTTTTTACTACCTTAAAAATGCAAGTATAGCGACAAAATTCGACAAAAATGTCTCTATACATAGATGTAATAAATGAGAAAATTGTTTGGATAATAAAAGCATGGATTCTTAAATATCAAAGTTTATTTATAAGGAAGCATTCCTTTTTGGCAATGATTTGATGGTGGGTATACAAGATTCGGCACAGCCGAATATAACACTCTTACTTGTTTTGTGCTAAAATCGTTTGAATTTTTTGTTTATATGTTGAAATAAACAACTGGCAACACTAAACTTTTTTACAACATTCGAAAAACATATGAAAAATTGTCGTAGGAGTTGTATAGAGCTTTTGCATAGAAAATACCAACAACATTGTTATGACTATTGTAGCAGCTGCTGACATACAACGCATACAACGCTACAACATCGATTGTGAATTGAACAAATGTCTTTTTAAGAGTGTTAAATCGAAGAGAAAATATTTAATATACAATAGCCTATTATATTGCACAGCACTGTATATGGTTAGGTCTTTAAAATATTCCGATAGAAATCTGCAGTATATTAACCTCTCATTTACTTAAAGAGTGCGCTGAATTCGAATCCGGTTTTCTCCATCACATCATATTTTCGAGATGGCACGAAGAAAGGTGTCTTATAATTTTAATTTGTCATCTGAAAAATGTCGAATAATCAATCACCTTAACTGAGATATTGTATGCTTAAGCTTTCGAAGACACCCTGCTATAACGTTATATGGTAAAAACGGGGTTTGTTCAATCTTAAGGACATGATGTATCAAAAGTATGATTCCAGATTCGAATTCAATTCGTTCCGATAGAGTACCGAGGAGTACGCTTCACTTCAGAACAGAATATGTTTTAATTCGTTCATGGTTTCTTTTGGCACAGAGTTCATATTTTGCCAGAATTGAATTAAATAAATTATATTGTATTAACATTTTACAATAAACGTCTAACATTTGTAAAACAGATCCTAAATTTTTTTGTTATACACCTAATAATTTTTAAATAGTTTGCACAAATATTAAAAATTTATCAAAATATAGCTAAATTAACGAATACATATATATCTTTTGACTTCAGAATTTACTATAACCGATATTGAAATTTAACAAACAGACAGACACACACTTTCTACACAATTTGTTAAATCTATGTGCGTTAATAGTGTTAAGAAGATTAATTCCTAAATTCAATTAATTTTAGATTCACAAAAAAACTCAAAAAAGACTAAAATATCTAAAACGGAAAATAAATTAACAAGACATTTATATGCTTTAGTTGCAAGCAATAATGGTGACAACATCAACAACTGCGGTTGCTTCAACCACAACTATTACAAACAACGGCAATATGTTGCTTTATAACAATAACAATAATGGTGCTATATCAGCGGTGGGCAATGGCGGCGAAGGTGCCAGTAGCGCCGGTATAACTTCATGTAACACTGCTGCCGCTTTGGAACAATATCGTTTACAATTATACAATTATGCTTTAAATATGGAACGTTTAAGAGGACCACCGTATACAGCGGCGGCAGCAATGGCTGCGGCAGCCGCATATGCCTCTACCACAACCGTGTCGACAACAACTGTAAATGGTCCCACAGTTCATGATACTAACTATACAACCACGGGCCAAGGACCTCCACCTCCGTCCTCTTATTTATGCGCTACTACAGCAGGAAGTTTAATAGCAGCATCAAGTCATATGGGAAGATCCCCCACTGCGTTGGCTCAATGCCCCACCAGTAATCGTTTGACACTGGCCTCAATGTCTTTGTTTCCACAACGTATATTTCAGCCGGAAGAGCCGAAGCCTCAACATAGTTACATCGGTTTAATCGCCATGGCTATACTCAGCAGTGCTGAGACTAAATTGGTCTTGTCTGATATATATCAATATATTTTAGACAACTACCCGTATTTTCGTACCCGTGGTCCGGGTTGGCGAAATTCTATACGCCATAATTTGTCGCTCAATGATTGTTTCATAAAGTCCGGTCGAAGCGCCAATGGCAAAGGCCACTACTGGGCCATACATCCCGCTAACATGGAAGATTTTCGTAAAGGTGACTTTCGTCGGCGTAAAGCTCAGCGCAAAGTGCGAAAGCATATGGGCTTGGCTGTTGATGACAATGGCACAGATTCTCCTAGTCCGCCACCAGCCATGGATTTAACTTCGCCCTCACCGCCTTCATTCCAACACATTGTAATGGGAAGTAGCACTATAACGCCTTTGGCGACCGCAGCCCAGCATTTAGCTGCTCAGTCATTTGGATGGCATTTTACGCAACACCACCGACAACAGCCCCAGCATTCACAGGTAGGTGGTCATGCGACAAATGCTACTGCCGCCTCATATATGGGCCAAATATTTACGTATAGACCTCAGCACTATGCAGCAGCTGCTGCTGCGGCGGCAGCTCTATGTCACGGTGGTAATGCACAGCATCATCAACAGCAGCAACTGATTGCCCCTACATCCCATCAACATTCGTCAGATCCTTCCATACTACAATCACCAAGTATACTTTCTTCCTCGCAATCTTCAATTGCTGCAACTAATGTCCAGGCTAACGTGATAAATGAGATATTCTCACAAAAACGGAAGCGTCAATTTGATGTGGCATCTCTTTTGGCACCCGATTACTCGAACAAGCGTGAACTACATCAACAGCAACAACCATACATTCGCAAGCATACAACCGAAAGCGAAACAGATGATTTGAGATCTTCTACGCCTTGCAATGATGAAATACTAGATGGAAACCCGACCACAAATGATCTCGAAATTGAGGACATTGATGTTGTGGACGCTAGTGAAGATGAAGACATAGAGGCTGACTACGATGAACCTGACGATGAAGTGGATAGTAATAGCAATAGCCATAGTCACAGCCATAGTGCCTCTCTAAGTCATAATGGTGATGATGAATCATCCATTTATATAAGAAGTTTTAAAAACGGGCACTCATTGCGTATAACCCCAAATCACTGCAAAATTTCTAAAATCAATATAACCGAAGATGAAACAGTGATAAGGGTTCATGATTATGAACCAGAAGATGAATGCGATGAAGATCAAAATTATCAATATGGAGATGATGAACATGACAACACAAATGAAGATGAGGATGAAACCGCATTTAGTGCCCTTCACAACAACAATAACAATCAAGACGACACGCATCTCAGTAGTGGTAAAAGACATATATCTCAAATATTTAAAGCCAGTTCAAGTCCCCTTAGGACACACCCCAACACACAACCACAACAAATAAGCAGAAATAATACACCACCTCAACCCGCCTCTCATCTTTTAACCACCCCATCATTACATTTGGAACACACCAACGACATTCAACCTACTCAGACACATCATCATCAAATGCCAATGAATGCTGATGCCCAAAATTTATTCGGCCGCTATTACGGCACGTATATGGCAGCAGCCGCCGCTGCTAGAATAAATTCTTCTATTCCATCATCTGCTAATATTGTTGGCAACACAGAATAAACTAAATTAAAAACCACCAAAAAATAATAAATAATAAAATAAATTAATTTATAATTGTTTAATTTTTCTTTGTGTCATCAGTATTATGTGTAAAACAATTTAAATGTAGTATGAAGACTTTGAACGTGAATAATGCAGGTATGATTCTAAAATGTATAAGCAATTTTTTTATGATTATATGTATATATGTACCTAGGATAGAATGGAGTCATTTGCCATAGGTGCACATCTGACCACACCCATTTACCTGAAAACCGAGTAGTCGTTAATTTTTGAGTTAAATAAAAAAATATATTGAATTTGTATCTAACACCTTAAATATACCTACCTTAATAACTTAAAACTATTTTCCCAAAAAATTTTCTAATTTTTAAGAGGGCCGACAAGGGCCGTTGGCATAAGGTAGTATCAAGCGTATCCCTTAAAAATTAACAATCAAATTTTTAAAAGTAATATTTCTATTTTTTTTATTTACATCAATATTTTAAATAAATTTATTTTATTAAAATTTTGTGTGTTATTTATCTAAACATTTGGCACATAGAACAATGTTGCATTTCTTAGAAGCCGTACGTCCCATTACAAAGTGAACTTTATCATCATAGCGCTGTTTATTTACAGCTGAATCTTCACCATACCGTGCAAAGTATATTAATAAAGTAGCATCACTACTTATTACTGACTATTTTTTTTAAACTGATCAATATGATTTTGATGGAAACATGGTATATTTTCATACGTTCATATTAATATATTCGTATGAACATGGTATATTTTCAAAAAAGAAAATTTTAAAATTTTTGTATGCAGTGTCAACTCAGAATGATATAATAGGCCATTTTATGATTATATTGTGAAGAACCCTTGTGTTGGTGTACGATGGAACTGGCACGCTGACTGTTGGCTGCGTCTGTAGCTCGCCGGATATGGGGCGATTCTTTCCCATCAGGTTCTTACAATTTAATAAACGTGCCATAGTACACTGATCGAAGACCATGAAAACACTGAACATTGGACGAAGTACCTCGAAACGGTTAAATAATTTTAACACGGACAGACATTTGGAGATAACATTCCTCACCATCAACAACATGAAAGGATATGAGCCTTCAGGACTAGCTGGATTTGTCCTGGATCGGCTGCCCTTCCCTTATGATTTTTCCAGTCATCCATGACGTTACTGAAGACCAAAAATAGTTTGTCGTATCTGAGTAACGTCCTTAAATATTGACTCACCGACTTTCTTGCACACTCACGCTACATTCCAAACCTTATATTGCAAATGATTAGCACATTATGTTTTCGGCATAACACAGGTTTATAAATTTTATTATATTATTTTAGATAATTAACAATTTTTATACCCTCCACCACCATCAGTGGTGATAGAGGGTATATATAAGTTTATCATTCCGTTTGTAACACCGAGAAATATTAATTTGAGACCCAACAAAGTATATATATTCTTGGTCCTTATGAAATTCTGAGTCGATTTAGATATGTCCGTCTGTCTGTCTGTATAAAACACGCTCACGTTAAAACGAAGCAACGGAACTTTATGAAATTCACCCAAAATATTCATTGATATCCTAAGCAGTTTGGTATTGAAAATCAGCAAGATCGGAAATAGGTTCAGAGTTATGAGTAAAAATTTGAGACAACCTCAAAAAATTTTGCTTTTTCACATATTTATTTGTATTTTTTACAAAAACTACTGCAGATAAATTGACGAATTTTGTCAGAGATATAACTATTAGTGCCAGGATCAACATTGTTAAAAATCGGAAAAACCGGTTCACAATTACATATACTTCCCATTCAAATGTACATACTCCCCGAAATTAATTTATTGTTAATAACTTCCGAAATAATGCCGATATCTTTACGAAATTTTACAAATTTAAATTCTATGCCAATAGAATTCATATAAAGAAACAATTTTCTGAATCGGTCCATAATTGGTCATAGCTCCCATACAAGGCCTCCTTCTCAAAATCACTTAAACGCATATTTCTCATTCCAAATAAAGGCATCCATTAAAATTTAGCACATTGCTTTTATATACAGAAATGATACTGTAAAATTTGTTTATGATCGGTCCGTAATTGGTCGTAGCTCCCATACAAGGGCTCCTTTCGAGAATCACTTAAACGCATAAAGCTCATTACGAAATAAAAATATCCATTAGGGTGATCGATTATTCGACATTTTCCAAAAACCGGTTTTCGAATAGTTCGAATAGATGACATTTAAAAAAAACCGGTTGATATTTTTCAAATTCAGAAAAAACCGGTTAACCGGTTTTTCATTATAAATAAAAAAATATATTTTAATTTGAAAAACTTAATGTTTATGTTTAAATTTGATTAATAAAACATGGCCCGAAATGATTTTTAACAGTTTAAAAGATTAGCCCCCTTATTCACAAACAAAATTTTTATTTTATAAACAGTTTAAAAATAAGATTTTATATGGAAATTATGTTTTATAAACCTTTTATAAAATAAAAATGTTGTTTGTGAATAAGGGGGTATATCTTTAGATCTAGTCGTCTGATTTACATTATTTCATTAATATAAAAAAATTAGGAAAAAAGTGGGACACTTCTGTTAAACATAAGGTACTATGTAATCTTAGCTTATTTTAAAAGCCCTGTTTAGGAAATTTGCATAGGCATTCCAACACTTCCATAAAATTTCAGCCGTAAATTAATTATTGTAATTGGAATATAATCTTAAGATTGTTAAAATTTTATCAAACAGTTGTCAATTTTACAAATAATTTTTTTTAATTAATTAGGAAAATCAAAAAAGTTTAACCAAAGGAGCTGTAGAAAAATATACGCTAGTTCCTCGACTAGAATATTTTTAAAATTTAGACGGGCTGTATTATTATTTACTTAAAAATTATATTTAAATAATCTTTGAATACAAAGCAAATGAAAGTATTCGAAACCGGTTTTTAAAAAGTGAAAAAAACCGGGTTATTCGATATTCGAAAAATCAACATTAAGAAAAAACCGACACTGGTAAAGCAGAAAAAACCGGTTGAAAAATCGAGTCAATCGCCCTAATATCCATACAAAATTTGGCACAAATATTGCTTTTATCTACAGAAATCTTATTATATTTTTTTTTACGATCGATCCATAATTGGTCATAGCTCCCATTTAAGGTCCCCTTTCGAGAATAACTTAAACGCATATTACTAATTACTAAATTATGGTATCCATGAAAAATTTGGCACAAATATTTATTTTTGAATTTTGTCATACATATAGTTTGGGAATCCACTGAGTTGAAAATCGAAATCAGTGGTGCACAATTTCTTGTTCCACCCATAGGATTAAAAAATTGATTATTTTTCGCAAAAAATTAAATAAAAACTGTCTAAAACGAACAGGATTCGAACTTAAAATCTCCCAGTTGCTAGTTTTACGCCATTCCCACTACGCTATTTACTAGCTTCATAATTGTTTGCAACTAATGTTCACATAGAAATTCTCTTTCCTGTTTGTGTAAAAAATTTTTGTTAACCCAATATCAAATAAAATGTGCACATTGTGAAAGTGTAACTGTTAATTTCTTATGATATTCAGCAACATCAGTGTTGATAAAAGTTATTCAGCAGCAATGTTTTGTACAAACAGAAAATAACATGGCATTTTTATATGAAAACAAGTAAGAAAGTATAGACGGACGTGACCGACCATATGATATCCTACACCAGTTATGAATATTATATGTGATTTATTTTTCATAATAAAACATTTATCTTATATTGTCTTGCTCCCATACATTTAAGCAATTTATGGATGAAAAACTAATTTTCTGAAAGAGGCTTTATATGGGGGCTAGGGGTAAATATGGACCAAGTCTGATAAAATTTTGTGAATATATTTATATGTACATAATATTTTATTGTGCTGAAATTCATCGTGATATTTGTGTTTATAAGTTAATTTTGGACATTCAAGTAATTGTTCCGATACATTTAAGCAATTTATGGATGAAAAACTAATTTTCTGAAACAGGCTTTATATGGGGGCTAGGGGCAAATATGGACCAAGCCCGATAAAATTTTGTGAATATATTTATATTTACATAATTATACCCTACACCACTTTAGTGGGAAGGGTATATTGGGTTTGTGCTGATGTTTGTAACATACCCACCTTAAAGTATACCAATCGGCGTAGAATCGTTTTCTGAGTCGATTAAGCTATGTCCGTCCGTCCGTCTGGCTGGCTGGCTGGTCCATTAGGGTGGGTCGAAAATAGGCTTTTCTCTCGGATCAACTTCTAATAGTGAAATTATGTTGTATTTTATCGTCAAATGGAAGACTGTAAAATATTATTCAATTATTTTGAGGGTAAGAGCCCGCGCATCGCCGCTAAAGTTTGTAAATGCGTTTATATGGGAAAAATGGCACTTTTTGGAGTTTTTTTTTCACAATATGAGGCTTCATAAATGTGCTAGTACGAATTTTTGTTCAAATTGGATAACCCTTACTCGGTTTAGTCTGTGGTCAAAAAAGGGCCTTTATTTTAACAGCATCTCCAAAACTCCATTTTCAAACTTTAAAAAATTTTGTTAAATGGATTATTAAAAATTAAAGTTTTCTATACTGGATATTATAAAGGATATATATAAGAATTAAACACAGAAGGAATGAGCTTAATACCTCTCATAGTTTTACCGTACCTGCGATGTGAATTTGAAGGATTTCGGGAAAAAGGCAATTTTTACCAATAATTAAGTAAAAATTATATTATTACCAATTGATGCTTAATTTTGATCAAGTAAATTGCGATTATTATTTCCGAGTCCATGGAAAGTTAGTTCTGATCAAATTTCCGAAACTAAAAATCATTAACCCTCTAAACACCGGGGTCAAAATCAAAATTTTGAATATTTTATGTTCTTGAAGAAATAAGAGCATGATGTTGTTAATTTGTTGATGGATATTGATGAAACTTCTTAGAAGTTATTTTTACTACA